ATGCCTTGCTCTCCTGGCCTGCCTTTCTGTGCAGTGTCCTAGTGCCACCTAGTGTGCAGACGGGATAGGAGTCGCTGCCGGAGAGTGAGAAGTCGGATTATAAAGAGTTGGCTTTGGGGGTTGAAACCCAACAGTCCGCTTTCAAAAACACAGTTCTACAGTGCAAGAAAAGAGGGTGTGCCTGCCATGGCCACACCTGGGGGGAGTCCTCCATGGTGGGGTGCAGGCTAGGAGAAAAGCAATGCCATGGGGAGCTCCCCATTTTGCATGTATTGTTTTCTTCCTCCTTCCTTCCCCAGGGTTCCCACAGCAATAGGGAGAAGATACTGCATAATATTCTTCAACTAACCTCTCTTTCTCTCTGGACCGGTGATGTCCTTCAGAGCACACTCTAAACTGTTGCAGGGTCAGAAGAAAAACTGAGGAATTTGTAAAAGCAGCGAGGAGTCCTGTGGCACCTTATAGACTGAGGAATTTGTGTGTCTATCTCCCAAACAAAAAGGAAATCTCCCACTTCCTACCTAATCAGTTGGCATTGCTCAGTGGTAGCTGAGAGAGACTTTCAGGGGCAGCATGTGCAAAAAGGCACCCAGCTCCAACAGAAAGTCAAGAGCTGCTAGGTGCTCACTCTCTGGCGTGCCTTTTAGAAATCTCCCCGGTTGTAACTCTTTTCCCATACCCTTCTAATGATGCAGCTTTTACTACACTGCATTTAAACAGTTCATATTCATCTCTCATTACAAAGTGCAACTATCAGCTCCCTTGTTTCTGCAGTGGATAATGTACTGTGTTAAGGCTCATGTGGAATTCAATCTCTCTGCTTTCAGAGGGAACTACTGATATTTTTGTCTTCATCTTTCACATCATGAGGGTGTCTTAGCTTTTGTGAAAACCTCCCTCAGCATTTTTGCATTAGTATTTTTTTTTAAACTGTAATCTTCCCTCACCCGTTCCTGCTCTTGGGTTCATTCTGCTAGTATATGGGACTCCAAAGAGACTGGGAAAAGAGAACAGCTAAAACTGTCCCCTCCCAAGACCAGCTCATTGGCCTGTCTGTTTACTGACGGGGGACTTGAAGGGTCCTAAAATGTAGGGTTCGTGTAACAATTCTAAAATATACTAACATTTTCATTCATATCAAAGTTTGTAAAACCGCCATCTCCTTTGGGTTTTTATTTCCCTGCTTTATTATAATCCCCAAAATAGCACTAATGTGGACAGATTTGACCTTAAATAATAGTGAAACTGACCAGCCTGAGTGAAATGCAGAAAGTAAAAGTACACCAGTGCGGAAAAGCAAATTCAGACTTCAGAATTACTTCACTTGGTATGTTAGGGGTTCCTAACACAGGGAAATGATGCTTTTAAATGACTATTTCAGTTATCCCTTGTAAATTAAAAACCCAGTGGAAGGATCTGGCTCCTTCTGGGATCCCAGAGGTGTATTGCTCCATGTTCAGAGCACGCGCATACACTTGGGAGAACAAAATTTCCCACCATTTCTTGAATTCCAGGATCCCATGCAGGCACTACAGGTAACTCAAGACCAGGTGTTTGTGGAGGATGCGCCCTGTCAGAAAGCATCCTTTGTAAGTCAGGGTCTCTCCCTCCTTCCGTGCAAGGCTGGGACCCACAGAGTGAGCCGGAGCACCAGCATGTCTGGCTGCCAAACTAAAGGTGTCTGTCTTCTTCTTTTCAGGGCTGAATGAAAAAGCACAAGGAGTAAAACGTTTGAGTTCCCTGGATGACAAGATCCCGCCCAAGTCTCCCCGCCCACGCCGCAACATCTTGCTGTCACGCAGCCAGTCGGACATTTTCTCCCGCAAGCCTTTCCGGAAGATCAACGTACAGGACCCTTACTACACACCAAGCAAGGGAGCAGCACGGAAAGTCAACCCCTTCAATGCCAGAGAAGACCTGAAGGGGGGGAAGATCAAATTTTTTGACATGCCAAGCAAGTCTGTGATCTCCCTTGTGTTCGACTTACACTCCCCAGAGACAGGGAGCTGCCTGAAGACTAGCCAGCCCCTGTCCAGGCAGGTGTACAGCACAGACGGGCAGGAATTCTCTTTCCCCCCTGGCAGGCGCTGTAGATCTCTCCCAGTCTCTCCCGAACTTCTGCATAAAGAGTATGTCCCTTTTGGGGGTCTGTCCTCGATGATCAGCAAGTGCGACTCGACCCAGCTAGGGGCTGAGGTACGGCAAAAACTCCTGAGCAGCAGTAAGTACGGAGTGTCCGAGATCCCTCCATTTCAGGCCAAATCTCACAGGCCGGACTCTCCTTTGCCTCCAGAGCAAGAGGACATGGACTGCTCCGATGGGCTGGAGTCCCAGGAGGAAAATGGATTCTGTCCTGTTGGGAATACTAGCGAAGATCCAGGTTGTCCCCAGCTGCTAGTACAGGCTCTGCCTGAGTCCCTAAGATACAAGGGGCGCTCAGGCCAGAATTCAGGCAGCTCAGAGGAAGGCAGCTCCCCGACAGTGTTGTCGAGCTGTGCCGCCTCCGAAGACATGGAGGTGGAAGACGAGGTGCGGAAGAACTTACTGCCAGAGGCTTCCAAGTCTCCGTTCAGTGTTAACGTCTCTGTGGAACTGGGCAGAGAGACGTTGCCGTTTGAAGTGCTAGATATGGACAGCTCTGCCCCTCTTTCTCTGGCACCTTCTAATACGTCCGCATCTGGTGGCGTGCAGTCAAAATGTGACATTTGAGGAGAGGGCTTAAAACCCAGATATGTTCTTGTGGGGACAAATGGTCTCCATTCACTTAGTTTTTAACTTTTTCCTATAGTGCAAAGTCTTGGATATTACAGTGGATCAGAGAAACCGGCCATCAGGCTGCGAGGCGCCTCTGAAGAGACAGTGTTTTTTTATTTTATTTTTACCCGTGTGCATCATCCCTTAGCTCACCACAAGAGGAACCTAGCATCAGGCAGGATGTCCACCTGGGCTCCCATAATCATTGCAGGGCTGCAGGCAGCAGGAGCTGGGAGTGCGGAAGTGATTTGAACCCTAGCACTCTGTCTAGCTGGGCACATCTGTTCCGTGGGGAGCCTCTGTCTAATACGGGGGGAGAGTCTCTCTTTTGGATAGTGTAGAAACGCCTTCAGATCTGAGAGCAGGGCCTACTGGTTCATTCCGTATTCTTGAACACGTTGATTTCAGAAGCAAGGAAACCACACGTCTTCTTAAATGGTAGCGGCGCATAGCTGCTGACTGACGGAGGGAAGCATTCTGCTGCATGTGCTGCCTGCCTCCTGGGATTCACTTTCTGATACCATGATGTATTGTTCCAGTCCAGACACAGCAAAGGCAGGGACTTCATGTTTCTCCCCACCACCACCTGCATCTGTTACCCTGCCACAGAGGTGTTACTGTAGGTTTGCAAGAGGGTAGCTCAGACACCAGGCACATTCATTCATTGTGAAGCTGCAAATAACAGTTGTGCGTTGTGGACACTTGTCCATGACAAACTGGATTGAGACCATCAGCGCTTTGCACAGCCGCTTGCCAGACAGTGCTCTGAGAACAACTCGTCACTACTCCCCTTGGCCAGTGACCCAGAAACACCAGGGTCCCAGTTACCTTTCCTCAGGCCTGTGAGACAGCCCATTCCTCCTAATGAGGAGCTGTTGCCACTACAATCATGATCTGTCCCTGTTTAAACCAAGCAGCTTGAAAATGTAGAGAGACCCTTTGAGGAGGAGAGTAGGACAGGCTCACAAGAAAGGCGTTTGGCTTTTTAGAGACCCTGAAGAAAATCAATTTCTCCCCCATAAATTCCTTGCTGTGTATTTTGGCAAAAAGAAAGTTACAGACACGTGAATCTCCATTTGCCTCTGCCTGCAGGAGCTGTCTGAGTGCACTTTTCCACCAGAAACACTAGGGTGTGTAAGGCCAACTGGTGTGGGAACATTTGTGTGTCTGAATCAGGTGCTAGCCCTGCAGTAGCTACACACCCACAGCTTGTCCTGTGGCCCAGTTTGCACAGCGTCCTGAAAGGGGCCGTTCACCTGCACCTCCCCCCGTGAGAACGCGGGGTTTTGCCTGCATTGTCACTCCTGACCCGGGCCAGCGTCTGGAAGACTGACATGCACACTCAATAGCCCTGGCACTAACACACAGCAGCCTTGGGAGAACTCCACCTGGTGGTGGTAGAGGAGATATGAAGCAACAGGTCTCTAGATAGCAGAGGCATAAACCTCACTTCTTGCTTCCCCTGAAATAGAGAATGAGGAAGGAGGGTCTTACGGACCAGCCAGGAAGGTTGTTGGAGAATGAGCAGTGAACCCTGAGTTTGAGGAGCAGTAAATTGTCTTCTGGCCCATGAATTACTTAAGATTTCCTCTCTCGAAGTGAAAGTGGCCAGGAAGCTTGTCCCTTCCCATTGACTGTGAAGAAACAAAACAGGAATCCCTGGACATCCCTGAGTTCCTTAGCACAGCCCTTGGGTGGCGTGAAAGAAACATTTTCTGTCTCCAGTAAGGTCTTTTAACCCTTCTTTGCCCCGGCTCTCCCACTCCTCCTCACGGGTGCCCATTTCTACAGCAGCCCTTTCTTTCTCTGCCCACCCCCTTATTTGGCAGGTTTTGTTCAGTCCTGTGCATCCTCTGTGGGGTTGGGAGTCTAGTGTATGGAGCTTTGTGAATGGCAGGCACCATCCACACACCTGCAGTTTCTGTTCCAGGCTGAGCAAGTATCACGCTAATCCGAGTAACAATCCTCCAGCGGATGCCTGGTGTACAACTGTAACCTTCCGCAAAGGAAACCCTCCTCACCAGCGGCGGTTGTCACGAGGCAGGGTCAGGATTGTGACTTCAGGCACACGAGCGATACCGTGAAGTGTTTATTGGTGGGAGCATCACTGGGCTGGGGGGAATCTAACCCGCATCCTCCTCCTGCCTTCAGTCCCACTGCAAAGACTGAGCACAGCAACAGCGCCTCCTTGTGGACTTTTGTTTGCTCACAGAACTGAAAGCAATGATCCTGTTGCCACAGCCAAGATCTCACTGCAGATGCCAGTTGCACTGGAAACTCTGCTTTGCCCTCTTCGATTAAACTTGACCATGGCGCTCTCACGGTGATGGGCCCACCAGTGGTTCCAGTGAGTGACCGTTTCTGCCCGGGGCTGTTTCAGGTTGATTCAGGATCTTTTAAATTCTATGTTCCCCAGAGATCTAGTCCGGTGTATTTGGGGGGGTGGGGATATTCCACGGTGTAAACCGAAAGCCAGCTGCATTGTGCAAGACCCAGCCCTGTCGTGTCCAGCCTTTGGTGCCGAGCCGGAAATGGGTCACAGCAATGGAAGTGCCAAGACATGGTGATGGGCTGTCAGCGTGAAGTCTGTCCCAAGTACCAGCTTACCTGGCGGAACTGGCTGTAGGTCTGGCTTTCAATGGATGAGTCTCTCACTTAAAACCAAGTCTTGTGGTGGTCTGATTCGGTTAACACTAATCATAATCTGGCCACCCAGAGCCAGACTCCATCGGTTAGATGGAGGTCAGTCCCTTGTCCCTCCACAGATGATGTTGTCCTATATGGTATTGCTAGTAGCCCATGTTGTGCGGCAGCTTCTCCCTGCTCTTTATACACAGCCTGCTAGAATGGAGTTCAGGCGAGCCCTTCGATTGCAAGTTGTTTTGTTCCGGTTGAGTTTTATCATGGTTTTGACTTTTTTTTTTTTTTTAAAGGACACAATTCTCGCTTTTTAAACTATTTCTAGACACTGCTGTGTCCCCTGAAGAAATCTACCTTAAATTCACTTTAGATCTTTCTTTGTTGGATTCATTTAAATGTCTGTTATAAGCTATGTTTTGGTTGATGTTGCTGATAGGTGACATACAAGTAGAAGAGGACATACTGTCAATTGCTGCCCCTGAAAAGAAGCAGATGCCAGGCAAAGGGCTACAGCTAGGTGTATTCTATTTTGTTAAAAGGTGTTGATGTACAGAACGTTTCTTGCCAGTACAACTAAAGACACTTGAATAATTACTGTTTGCACTTAATGCTATTGTTATACTGCATGTCACTACATTTCTATGCAAAACTAAGTAATCTTTTGGGGCAGGTTTGAATAAGTTTAAAGATCTTTGCAAGATGATCTATTTTCATATTTATGAAGGAGTTTTATGTCTTAATATTTTGCAGTCTGTAAATAGCTAAACTTGTAATTAAAGGCTTAGGAAGAAGTTTGTAGCCTGTGTATAATAGTAAGTTAACACTGCCAGAAAAAAAAATCTTTGCAAAACAACTTTTCTAATATTGTGGATATTTATGAATTTGTAAAGAAAGCAAATCTTGTTTTATGTTGATTGATTTTCTGACTTTGATGTTTTTTGAACTATGGAAATGGTGTATGTTTTATTGGAACTGCAATAAGTAACCAAAGATGAATCTAGTTAAATATTTTCATAATTTTTTCTTGGTCAGTTTTTGTAATCTATTTCCCAACTTGCTTTCAAAATAAAAATAAAACAATTACTATTCTTGTGGTCAAGAGGAGAAAAGTAGAAAACTTTCTGCCCCACAACTCATTAAAGTGTTGGCAGTGCCTAGATGTGAGATATAGATTTGGTTTCATATACAGGCTGTCCTCACTAGAAGTCCATATACATTCCAAAAAACTGGACTTATAGTGAAGCAACTTAAATCAGGGAATTTTTCCCCCATGGCTGACTTCCATTTGCACAAATTAGGGGCAGGGTTTGTGCAACTTGAGAGCGGGGAACGGGAGGACTTACAATGCATCAGTTCCTACAAGCGTCAATGACTTCAGTGCAGAACAGCTGTATACCAGAGCAACTTATAGCGGGACTGCCTGGTAGCACCTTTATTTACAAAGTGCTGAGTTACCAGGGAAAAACAACACTCAGACTTGCACCCAAGGCACTGTTGACCTCCAGGTTATGTATCCATGGCCTCTTCCCAAAGTGTCTTATTCTGCTCAGCATCAGCAACCCCCGGCAGACAGTGATGATGTTGCAAAGGGATAGAAAACCAGGCACTTGCATGGTAGTTTAGAGGAAATGAAACAAGGGCCCAGGCCCTCAAAGGTCTTTAAAAAGCCTCTAATTCCCATTGAGTTTGGCTCATCCTTCTAAGCACTTAACACTGAAATCAATGGGCGTTAAATGCCTAAATACCCCTGAGGATCTGATCAAAGTCTCTACCATCAAGAACTTACGCAAAAGAGAAGTAAAGCAGGGTGAGGGATGGGGTGTATGTGTACACATACATACACGGGGTAGTGATCATAGCATTTTAGCTTTTAAAAATAGGCCCCAAAGGAAGTAGTGGAAGGAATGAAGCCTTGAGCCATTTCTCTACTAAAATGGACAAGGCGGGACCGTGTCCTAAAGCTTTGTTTGGGCACAGGTGTGATCTGGAAGTGGGCTAAAGACTTAGCACTTGATTAGAACTTATCTACACTTAAAGCAAGGTCAGCTGGGGGCACAGAACCTCACCCACCCATTCCTGTGGCTGAGCTACTGAAGTGCTTAAATCTTTGACTTCAAGTTAGAGAATCCACAATTTACAATCCTTTAAACCTGCAAGTGACCCATGCTGCTGAAGGTGAAAATCCCCCAGGCTGTGTCTAGACGGGCCAGTTTTTCTAGAAAATCAACGGCTTTTCCGGAAAAACTTGCCAGCTGTCTACACTGGCCGCTTGAATTTCCGCAAAAATACTGACGATCTCATGTAAGATTGTCAGTTGTTCTTGCAGAAATACTATGCTGCTCCTGTGTGGGCAAAAGTCCTTTTGCACAAAACTTTTGCGCAAAAGGGCCCGTGTAGACAGTTCAGATTTGTTTTCTGCAAAAAAGCCCTGATCGCAAAAATGGCGATTGGGGCTTTTTTGTGGAAAACCGCGTCTAGATTGGCACGGACCCTTTTCCGCAAAAAGTGCTTTTGTGGAAAAGCGTCCAGGCCAATCTAGACGCTCTGTTCTGAAAATGCTTTTAACGGAAAAGTTTTCCATTAAAAGCACTTCCGGAAAATCATGCCAATCTAGACGCAGCCCCAGTGTCATTGCCAGTCTGACCTGGGGGAAATTCCTTACAGATACCTTACAACAGTGTATTTGATTTGCTTTGATTCTAAAATCAGTACTATAAAATTACTATGGCACATATTCAGTAGGTTAAAACATGACTGAAGTCTCCCAGGGTACATCTGCACAACAGTATTAGAGTGCATCTACGCTGCCAGCCTTTATTTTGAAATCATGTTGGGCTGGAGGACTTCTTACTCTGACTCCTGTAACCTGCATTTCATGAGAAGGGCAGTTGGAGGAAGAACGTTCCTCCTGTGACTTCCTGCTGTGTAGACAGCGCCAAAAGCTAAATTAAGCTATTTCGATTTCAGCTCCACAATTTACTAAGCTCAAGTTGCGTAGCTTAATTTGACTTGAGCCCTGCTGTGTAGATGTATCCCAAATATTTAATTATCAAATAGGTGTGTTCCTGTAGTGATCAGTGCGGTGTCCCATGCTCACATTTGTATTAAAGAAAACACAATCACTGAAAGTTTATGGATGGCACAAGTAATTTCACACGTATGAAAGCCCGATGTTAAAAATGGCAGGAATAAGAGCACAGGGCCAATAGTAGCATGAGGATTGAGAACTACTATAGTCAGTCAGCAAGGAAGAGAGCAAGCTGGCTTTCCAACATGTGCAATGATATGGACATACACCCCTTTCTAGAGCCAGCAGGCCCTACCTGGGAAGGGTTCAGGAGCCACATACTCTTGAGTTCTATTAATTGTCAGTTGTCCCAGTGTAACAGATTTGCAGCTCTGCCTTACTTCAGGGTGAGAGTCTCTTTCTGTTTAAAGCTCCACTAGTCAGCATTCTTGAAGCAACAAAT